GTATATAGTGATACATTAATTTAATTTATAAAAAAAGAAAAACTATTGAACATATTATATCCAATTCAACTCGAAAATCAAAGGTATCAGGGACCAGAATGAGTAACAGTTACACCGACTAGCCCAATTTCACGGTGTGCGATTTAAACAGGGTGTTTCAGAATGTAATGTACATACGTTAACTGTAGGTGTGGAACACTTGGGTGCTTCGAAATCATCCATTATTAATAGGTCTATCACATCTCATTACCCAGATACAGGGTATTTTATGAATTTCGCCTGAATTTGTTTTTAGTCAAAACTCAACAACCACTCGGTATAAAAAATAAAAATTTGGCAGGTAGACTCATTTCACTATAACAAAATGATTGCCGTAAAAATAATAATTAGATTCCAGGTCCGGCTTAACAAAATTTAAGCATTTCTGTCCGCTTCAAAAACAACACCCTGTATGAGCAAATTTAACATATCTGATTAAACATCTTAAAAGAGCGGAAAAAATCAATTTGGGTAGGTGTCTTTTAAAATTTGCGCATGTTGTTTTAGAGGCACTAATTTTTTGATAAAAAATGATATTTTTAAAAATTTGTTAACTTCAGAATTTAAACACGATTTTTTGATTATAAAACATGGAAAATATTACTTTTTTAAGTAAGTACTTTTCAAATATCTCAATTTTACACTGTTTCAGTCTTTGATTTAATATTAGAAATAAATTACAGGCCCGTATAGTTAGCTAAACCAATAATTTTTTAAATACCCTGTATAATTAAAAATAAGGAAAGTAAAAATTAAAAAGGAAATTTCGAATTAATGGCAAACATTAACAGACTTTGAGTTTGGTATTTTCTTTAAGGTACCAGGAAAATTTAATTATGTATAAACAAAATAATTATAAAAAAAATAATTATTAATTTTATTTCACAAATAATAAACTTTTTGAAACAATTAAAACCTAATTAATAAAATAACCTATTCTAACCTAATAATTGTTGAAAATGAAAACCATTCTGCTGAATACATATTGTTGCCCTTTCCACAATTTCTTGGATTGCCGCTCGAATTGTTTCAGGTTTATTTCGTATTTCTACGCACGCATTGTTTATTCTTGGAAGAAGTTCATCAGGTGTATTAATTTCGTCACTATAAACTAATGATTTTAAATGTCCCCAAAGGTAATAATCGACGGGATTAAAATCTGGTGATCTTGCCGACCAGTGATTAGGTCCACCCCGACCTATCCACGTATTAGGAAAATTCTCATTTAGAAATTCTCTTACAATTCTTCTAAAATGTGGCGCAGCACCATCATGCTGGAAATAGATGCCCCCAATATTTTCATTTTCCAGCAGTACTGGCAAATGATTTTGAATAAAATCTAAGTATGCTTCACCTGTTAGTCGATTAGGAAGCACATGCGGCCCAATCAGATGGTTGTTTAGCAAACCACACCAAATATTCACAGAAAATTTATTTTGCGTGTGGATTTTCTTGTGCCCAAAACTGAGAATTCCTTAAGTTGTATAAACCATCCCTAGTGAATTGTGATTCATCGGAAAATAAACATCGATTAAGAATTCTTCTATTTCGAATAATCCAGTTAGAAAAATGTATTCTATGTATTTCATCTCCCATCTCCAATCTCTGTACATGTTGAAAGTGGAATGGATATAACCTATTTCTTTTTAATATTCGCCAAATAGTAACGTGTGGTAGATCTAATGCATTACTTATTCTACGAGTACTAATTTTTGGATCATTTTCAACCATATTGATAATATTCTCTTCTACATCAATGTTTGCCATTCTATTATGTTCATTGAATTTTGCTGTAGGAAAACGACCGTGCTGTCTAAGAAAATTAAAAATGTTCGAAAAAGTTTGATGGTTAGGCAGTAGGCGTCCTGGAAACCTTCTCTCATATTCCCTTACACCGGCTCGACTATTACCATTACAAAATCCGTATACAAACAAAATATTGGCATATTCTTCGTTGGAAAATTGATAAGGCATTTCTAGATTTGGTTATTTAACACCAATGTTTGCAACAAAGAAACTTGAATGAATAGTCTATTAAACTTATGTATTAGCTGTCAAAAACTTTCAACTGTTTTCTTGCTTAGATAAAGTTATTTATAAAACAGAGAATACATAATACATGTGAAAAAATAAAAAAATAATCCTAAGGTTGGCAATCCAAAGAATTTATTGAATGGCTTATTTGATAAAATAGTTGTCATTTGATCAAGGTTGTTTTAATAGTTATGTTTTTCTTGAGTTATTCACTTTATTTAGGAAATAAATTTAAATATTTAAATACAATAAAAAGTTAACTGTATGAGTAATAATTACTAAGTTATGTTTAAAATTGAATCTTGCTGTTAAACTCATTTTTGTTAAGTAGAAATAATATTTTTAAACCCTCATTTCCTTATTTTTCATTATACAGGGTATTTAAAAAATTATTGGTTTAGCTAACTATACGGGCCTGTAATTTATTTCTATTATTAAATCAAAGACTGAAACAGTGTAAAATTGAGATATTTGCAAAGTACTTACTTAAAAAAGTAATATTTTCCATGTTTTATAATCAAAAAATCGTGTTTAAATTCTGAAGTTAACAAATTTTTAAATATGTCATTTTTTATCAAAAAATTAGTGCCTCTAAAACGACATGCGCAAATTTTAAAAGACACCTACCCAAATTGATTTTTCCGCTCTTTTAAGATGTTTAATCAGATATGTTAAATTTGCTCATACAGGGTGTTGTTTTTAAAGCGGACAGAAATGCTCAAATTTTGTTAATCCGGACCTGGAATTTCATTTTTATTTTTACGGCATTATTTTTGTTATATGGAGATGAGTCTACCTGCCAAATTTTAATTTTTTATACCGACTGGTTGTTAAGTTTTGGCTAAAAACAAATTCAGGTGAAATTCATAAATCACCCTGTATCTAGGTAATGAGATGTGATAGACCTATTAATAATGGATGATTTCGAAGCACCCAAGTGTTCCACACCTACAGTTAACGTATGTACATTACATTCTGAAACACCCTGTATAATTTTTCTGGTGAATAAAAGTAAAAAATCCTTCGATTGATCAAACTCTGATACTTACCTTACAAATCCAATTTAATATAATAATTCTCAAATCAGATATGTGCACATTCAGCGACACTACATAAAAGAGACTGTGTAGACTAACCTTTCTAAGTCCAGGGTTTATCACTGGATGGACACTCCTATATCTTTTTAATAAGGGAAAAAAGGAGGTTGAAGAAAATTCTGAAGTTTTCCTAAACAGATTTTAATAGACAAATTCCTCTCTGCATTCTCTGGTACATTTATTACAGTTTGGTTCCCATTGTTCGAACAATCGGAGCCGGGTTATCTAGGCTAGTCTACATAAACAAAGATCAGTACATATGGTTTACAACAGGTTTAAATTAGGTTTACATAAAAACTTGATTCTTACAAAATAAACATATAAAAGGTCAATATCACAGGTTACCCAAGTATATAATAAAATAAAATGGTTATAGATTCTTAACTACATCTAAAAAAAAAAATAGGTCCACAAGTGACCTCACCCTATGGTATAAAATTAACAAATTATCAATGATTATTGAAAGAATATTGGGTAACAAATAAACTGATCAAAGTTTCAAAACCTATCTAGGAGGAAAAGGTTTTAGTCAAAATAATGAAGTAAACTGTAACTATGAAAATATACTCATTTGAGCAACAATATTAAAAGAATAATGTAAAAAAAACCGGTTCACTTAACTCACGCTCACGATTCACCAGCACTCCAAATTGGACGAGCCAACGAGCCCACGACCACACTTCATCTTCATCTTACCATCAACAACGATACTCAAAGATGGTGGTAAAGAAGAATAACCCAATCTCTTGGCCACCAAACTACAAACCTCGAGCACCATTATAGAAAATATTAATGAGGTCAAGACTCCAACGGAATCGACCTAACCTAACCCTAAGGTTTGAATATCTCGTACAATAACGCTTCCGGGCGAAGGCACCATGTGGTGAAATGGCGTCGTAAAGTAAAATACGAGTTTTATATCCCCCAACTTACACTACTTACAAAGCTCTACAAACACTTTAATTCACGAATTGAATATAGCCGAAATCAGAGAAATCCGGGACGCTCCGATGAAATTAGATTTACTTTTTCACTTAATTTCGGCCTCATAACTACCAACAACGTTTCAATCTTCTTCGTCCAAAAACCACGTCATAAGGGCTCAGTCAGAAAACTTTTTTCCCTTCCCCTCCAGATTGCGTGAAGTTTCAACTCTTCACTAATTATATTGAAAGGCCTTGAACACCCATAGGTATGGAGACATTCTAATTATAAAATTTACAATAGTCAAACATTATTTCCCTTGCTCCAGACAAACTAAAATAATACCTAATAACTTCCCAAAAGTTAATTAAGTAAAAGGACATACAGCATACGCTGTTTTCCGTATCGAAGCTAAAGCAAATCTTACACTAAATTGTTAGGGCCTGATTATTTAATTTCCTACAAAATAAAAATAATATACAGAGTTGTAAAATTAAAACTGGAGTGTAACAGTAGGCACTATTGAACCACCCTGGTTCGCATAGAGTGCAGGGAGGATTGATGATGGTGAGACCTGTATTTAGTCATTTATATTTACCCTTTATATCCTAAAAATGGTTTTAAGCTTATTTAGTTCATGAGATAGAGCCATTGTAAGTTTTTAAATTATCACCTTGTATGAAAGCAACTGTTTAGCAGTTTTCGCTAAATCATTCTAGTATTTTTTACTACCAATGTTTATTATTATTTAAGAAACAAGAGTCAGTTTTATTAATTTTTTATTATTTTTAATAATACATCGTACTATATGAGACACGATAAAAAAGTAGATGTGCTTCTGAAAAATCATGAAAACCATTTTAAATCAATATTTTTGGTAACTGTTTATTTCGAAAAAAAAAAAAGCTAACCGAATTCGATTATAGTACTTGTATTAGTAGTTCTAGAAGCATCTATGGTGTCCTGGAAATTAAAATAGCCTTATTAGTTACCTGGAAATGATATTCTCTAGAGATTTTAATTTTTCCTTATCAAAAATAAAATTACATAATTTAACAGAAGTAGACATATAAAGAGCAAACGTTAATATTTTTATGTAGTATTTTATTTTTGTTGTGGAATCCTTAAGAAAGGATTTAGCCGTCCTTCCATAGGCAAACTGCCCCCGATAGGAACCTATATCGTAACCTATGCTATATTGTAGAGGGTACTATTAGTAGTTCATCGAGTAGATATTAGCTCTATATCTTAGTTAATTGAGGAGCTATTTGAAAAAAAGTGTCCGGAGACGACTTTTTTTCAAAGTGATATATCTCTGTTGATTTTAAAGCTAGAAAAATAAAACCAATTTTAGTGTTTATGGTACACTCTACAGTTTATTTTATATAAATTTCCATGAGCCAAGCCTAAATAAAAATATTAAAAAAATGCAAATAAATTATTTTTTTATTGATTTCTATCAGATCGAATTGAATTACCACTTTGAAAAAAATATATAATAATTATCTATACCTTGCCTAACAGCATACCAAGTTTCATTAAAATCCATAAGGTGCAACATTTTGAAAAAAACAATGAAAGTAAGTGGACCACCTTATGACCACTTTGATGACGCTTTTAACTTTCAATTTTTCAATAATATAGTACTTATTTAAATTGTATTACATATTTGATTTTTCAATATTGGGCATGAAAGGTTCAAAAGAAAATGGAATGATCTTTTCTCAGTAATAGTTGAATCCATATTAATAAAAAATAGCTTTTATTAGTCATCGTCACTATTTTCATTAATTACAACGTGATCGTTATTTATAGAAAAAACACTGGATAATATTTCTGCTGGGCGAACTATATGAGATTTATATCTTGCATTTGATAAATAATATATAATTGCCGCTACGTGGGAGCAACACCCAACTGTTCGATTTCCATTTGCACAGTTACAGCAATAACGCCGAATATCTTCGTGGCTTTTTCCATTGGGGTTATAGTCAATGTAACATCTGTAGGTTTTGCTATTAATGTGTCGCGATTGTACTTGCACTTTTAAAATGTTAGGTTCATTTTTGACGTACAGTACATGAAAATTATTGTCTTTCCCCATGAGTTCAGCTAAATAAGAAATGGCTTGTGAAAGCTGGTAGGTGCCAGTAAAAAGTATTTTTAACTTTTCTTCAGAAAGCTCAGGGAAGTCCTGAACTTCTGAAGCTAGAAGTCGTTGAAAGGGTTGTTTTCGCCGATCCCAGTTGTGAAGCAGTACCTCGTCGACAAGTGTGTTTTTCATAGTTTGTCTGTCTTTCATATTTTTAATTATTTTATCATGTAAATCTATGTCCGAAATATGTCTCTTACCATATTTATTTTGTAGAAACGCAGCAATGCGACAAAAAGACCTTACGTTCGGTAATATTTTGTTGTCTAAAACATTATCTAAGAGCCGGAACTTTTGCGAAATTGCACCGTGGACCGCTTCGACAACCCATCTTACTTTTGTCACTTTCCTAGACTCATTAGCTTCAGAAGTTGTAAGTTGATCTCGTTTTCCTTTTAGTGCTGGCATAAGCAGTTTGTAGCCTTTCTTGGTTATGTATGACTCAACGTCTCTAAATCCACGGTCTGCAATGATAAGATCGTTTTGATGCAAAAGAGTTTGCAAACCAAGAGAATCGTCTAATACGATTTTCATTATTGTAGCATCGTTTTGTGTTCCATAATAGGGACCTGCGAAATCTATTATGTATCCATCAGTAGCGCAAATAGTAAATGGCTTACATAAATGCGATTTCTTTTGTCCCGAGTAAGATTTGCGTTGGTATTCGTTGTTTGTGCTTTTTTCATGAAAAATATATGTGCCATCACAAATAATTATCAATTGATCATCAGTAGTGTTAAATAAAGCCTTCGAAATATTGGTCGTATGATTTTGAATTAGCTGTTGTCTTGAGACTGAATTGATACCAAAATGGAATGGTAAAATATCTTCTTCGAAACTTCGTATTATTTGCTTGCAATAATCTGAAACTTGTTGCTCTCGTTCTAATTGTAATATTGAAGATATCATTTTATTTGAAATACCTAATCGTAATTTCATTAAAAAAATCACTAATGCTTGAATAACATTGCGCGAAGAAGAAAACTTAAATGATGTTAAAAGATTCGACAGTTCCATGATGTTTTCCCAACTTAGTCCAGTATATACTTTTAGTTTTTCTTCAGGCATGGTAGAATCACCTATTTGTTTAAACAGAGTAGCTTCAACTTTTTCTGAAAGTAAATCTAAAAATGTTGAGACTTCTTTTGCAGATAAAACACTGTAATTGGAGTGAATGCGCAAGCGTGACAGTTCATCTTCAAAAAACTTGTTTTTTATTAAGTGTTGTGAGCAACAACGGTCTCCATTCGGAATGAAAATTCTTCGTTTAATAAAAGCTTGATATCGGGCTTCTTTTGGTATTGTTTTAATATTAGATTGTGAGCTACACAAAATACAATACTTATGAGTTGAAATTACTCTTTTTAACGGCAATATCATGGTGTCTTCATCAGAACTGTGACTCATACAAAAGTCTTCATCTTCATCATTATCATCATAATAATGATAGTCTTCTTCGTCCGCTGATTCAAATTGTAAAATATCACGTCGTTCTGTTTCTATATTAATACGGGAAGGTCCTGGGCGTGTGTCGTCAGTAGCCGGTGATTTAGCATACGGAATTAATCGACATTTATGACACAGAACATCTCCAACTTTAAGTAGCTTCATTTGAGGAACACTGTATTTACGCACTTCATCTTCGGTTTGCAATGTTTTCTTTCGTTTTCCAGTCTTTCGCAATATAAAGCCACAATTATTACATTTCCCAGACATATTCGATATATTTTAGGTCACTGCTTTATTCACTGGTTATTATATATATTTTTAAACATGAACAAACAATACGTTTTTGGATTAGGAATTTGTAAAACTGCGAAAATAATAACAGCGAAAGCGTACCACGACTATGCACTGTGATCATGTAGGAACATGCACGCGTGAGTACTTCGACAATCTAGTCACTATAAAAAATTGGTTGTTTGTAAAGTCGGTTTACGGACGATAGTTTAACGTGACAACGTGTAGATATGAGTTGTGTGCCTTTCGGTCGGCCGTGCAGCGCTCTCACCCCTTCCCTTCCGCGGCGCTACAATGTTACAATGTAAACATTGCTACAATGAGTCATGTTTTTTCGTATGCGCGGCCGGCGTTCATCAATTTATTAGACGTTGTCACGTCAAAAGTAGACCGACAAAATATTGTAATAGACTAGTGACACTACCAACCGTTAATATACTTTTTATAAACTGTCAAAACGCTATTTTGTTAAAGATTATTAAAATCTAATACAATTTGAAAGCGTCAACTGTAAATCAAAGTGTTTTTGTGATTAAAGCGTTTGAGCGTTTCAATGTTAAACTCCATAAGCAAACTATAGAACTTTAAAACGGACACAAGTGATTAAAAATTGAGCATCAAAAATGCTACAGTTTGCTTATGGAGTTCAACACTGCAAACACTAAAGCGCTTTATTATTAAGCGTTTTTAGCATTTCGTTATTAATTACTTGAATTTACAGTGTCAACAAGGTGGTCCACTTCATTATTTTTGTCCACATTCATTATTTTTTTTTCAAAATGTTGCACCTTATGGATTTTAATGAAACTTGGTATGCTGTTAGGCAAGGTATAGACAATTATTATATATTTTTTTCAAAGTGGTAATTCAATTCGATCTGATAGAAATCAATAAAAAAATAATTTATTTGCATTTTTTCAATATTTTTATTTAGGCTTGGCTCATGGAAATTTATATAAAATAAACTGTAGAGTGTACCATAAACACTAAAATTGGTTTTATTTTTCTAGCTTTAAAATCAACAGAGATATATCACTTTGAAAAAAAGTCGTCTCTGGACACTTTTTTTCAAATAGCTCCTCAATTAACTAAGATATAGAGCTAATATCTACTCAATGAACTACTAATAGTACCCTCTACAATATAGCATAGGTTACGATATAGGTTCCTATCGGGGGCAGTTTGCCTATGGAAGGACGGCTAAACCCTTTGTTTAAGTAAAAAGTAACTTAATTGTATAAATAAATACAGACAAATTGTCGCGAAATGAAGTGGCATAAAATTCTAAACACTGCTGTATCATCTTATCTTTATTTATATTGGTTATTTCTTTCTTGTTTTTAGCAAAGGTAAGGATCTTCTCTACTTTGTCGTTTATACTTCGCTCGATATCATTGATGTCGATTTCAGTCAATTTTTGAAAATGCCAGGTTACTGCCGATTGGCGCAACAACACAGGTCACTTTTCAAGAATTTCAGAAGCAGTTGGAGGATTTTCCAAGTTATTAAGAAACTTTCTCTGTTCTGGTTAGGTCTCTTCTAAGAGTAAAAATATTCTTCATTATCTTCAATATCTGTGTTTAAGATTAGTATCTTAAAGTTAATTTTATCAAATTTAGTAAATAAGCAAGTAAAAAAATTAGGTAACCTTTTCTTGCAGCATCCTCGACTGATTTTTACTTTTTTACTCTACGTAGATCGAGGCACACCCATTGTTCCAGAGATAACTGCTTCAGTGGCATTCTGCATAGATTCGTTCATCCAACCTTGGCGCTCCGTTTTTATTTTATATTTTCCCACCATTTTTTCTAAAAAGAACGTAATAATTCATCGAGGGGCAAAACCGGATGTGCTGGTTTTGCCGCGTCCGATTTTGCCCCCAAAGGTAAATCAGATAAACAATCCAAAAACCTAAAAATAGAAAATTGGAGAATCACAGCTAAGGCTTGCTTAGGAAGCAAAAAAGTTGATCTTCAGCGAACGCCATACAAAAAAAATTAAAAATAATACAAATAGTAAAGTATTGGCCAACCGAAAAATAGACCTAATAAGATCACGTACCTTAAGTTGGATGACAAACAATGGCACTATAAATCACCGCTCACATCACCTTTAAAAACAGTTTACCATGTATTAAAACTAACGCGACACGAGTTCGTGCTGACGGATCACGCTATTTTAAGTTGGAGGGGGCATGCGGTTATGCCCCTCCCTCCCTACGTTTTTATCTTTTTAAACATTTAATATCACGCCTACGTAGACGTCACTGGTTGAAGTAGAAAATTAATTTTTGTCCAAAAAAATGTTTCCACGCATGGTGGGTGTCTACCAAATTTTAACAAAATATCAAAAGCAGTTTCAATGAACTTAAAAAAAAAACGTACCTTATACTTTGTTGGAAATAGCTCCACTATCATTTCGGATAATTCCATAAATCTGATTCTACCAATATTTTTGTCAGGTTACCCTTCTAGTTCATTTCTTATAACAATGTCGGCTATAGTTTGTCTATGTGCCTGCTGAAAGGTAGAATTTTTATAAACGTTTTTGCCAGTATTTGTAGAGTTGAAAAGGTGTACCAATTGTGCGCTAGTGACTATTTTATTTACAGGTATAGTTGAGGGTTTAGTATTGGTAAGCGTTTCATCAGGAGTAGCATTAATATTTAGAATATAAAACTTACTTTGTGTTGTTCCTGAAATTTGACTTAAATTAATAACACAGACAAACACGCAACACAACAATGAAGTTAAGTAAACCATTTTTATGAAAATTCAAATTTAACACTGCTTTTTTTTGTAATCCAACCAACAAAATTTTATTTCATTATTTCTAATAATTACTGCAGTTACTAAAAATTTGGTTTGCAGGATATTTAAATTCGAGAATTTTAATATTTAACCTCCAATTATACCGCAAAAAATGCCGGCATTTTAAGTATTTAACCAAACATTCCATTTTTGTTTTAATATAAAATTAAAAAAATCAAAACAAAACCGCTTAATTTTACCAAAAATTAGAATTCATACATTTTCGAAAAGTTATATATTGCATTGGTCGTAAAATTATAATAATTATTAGAATAAAAATGAAACTTATCCACAAATTTAACAAACAACAAAAGCCAAAAAGTTTCGTCCTTCACTATATAGGACCGCTAAGAACCTTGTCTATTCCAAACAGCATCGTTTGTAATATAACAAAATATTTTTCGGACACATAAGTTATTTTAGATTGCTAACGTATTTTAAAAACCTATGTATGTCAAATAATTTCACAAACGCCCATCTAAAAGTTTTTTGATTATTTAAACAAAATAGTTATTACCTATTCTATTTAAAATTGTTTGTCGGTTAAAAAAGTTATCTGATAAATATACACAAAAATACTTGTAAAACTAAATAACAATTGTTTTAAAAATAAATAGGTAATGTGTTTAAACTACATAATTAAAATTATTAAACATAAACATTATGTGTGTTTCTAATTATCAGTAAGTTGTATGATCTAATTAAAATTAGGTTTAATTTCAATTAAAGAATATTGTGTTAGAAGAAGAAAAAAAAGTTCTTTTGGATAATGTTCTTTGTAACTTTGATTACTGCTTTATCTAAATAAAAAAAATACACATAATCCAATAAATTTCTCGTCAGATAATAACTCTTATCTCAATATGCCAAGTTTTTTCTTCCCTGAACTTTATAGAGTTATATAAAGAACAATTGATGGTCTAACGACTTGGAGTTATTTTATAATAATAAAAAAAAAATTCTCTATGAGATGGATCAATTTTTTTTTCCAAAACTTGATTATGACAGCAATGTCGCATTATTAATAATATACTTTTTGTGTTAGCTTTTAGGTTGTTTAATTCCTGCAAAAACCGTTCAAGTGTGAAATATGTTTGAAACGGTTTTCGCTTAAAGGCACTTAAAATTCTACACCTGTAAAAAACCGTTTAAGTGTGAAATATGTTCGAAACAGTTTGTACTAAGAATCTGGTAAATACTGATTAAAATAAAAAGTTTTTAGTTTTTCTTCTGTGTCGATAAAAAATCATTCTGCATAATTTTATCATAGATCATGGCCGTGTCTTTATTTAACTGGCCGGAGACTTCACATTTACATTTACACAAAATTCGAGCAGTTGTTTTTTCTATTTATATATTTCTTCATTGTTTTACTTGGTCTCTTACCTGTTAAGGCTTTATGTAAAAAAGAGTGATAATCTACTTCTTTTTAAAAGAAATAACAGCATCCTAAGTGAGTACCCACCTTTCATGGAAAAGTCAATTCTTTTTCCTGAAATGAATTTTGCTGACATTGTTGAAGCATTCTGCATTATTATTTGTCACATTTTTAATCAAGCTTTTAAGCTGATTTGCACGAGACATAAGATCATTATATAGTCCACATTCTTACATATTTCGAATGAGGTTCGATTCATTCGGCTTTGTTTTTGCAGAAATATTTATTACACTGCTAGTGATCTCCAAATACCTGTTTTTTAAAATTTGTCTTTAAGTTACTGCTGATAGCTAAAACCTTATAAACTAAATTTTTTAGTGGTTAGCTGTTTAAGGTTATTGCAGTAATTTCTTAGGAAGAACATTTGAATTTCTGAATACCAAAGTTTCCGTACGGTTTGTCAATTTGCATTTTTGTTAAAAACGCTGCTATATCCATCACCAACTAGATATGCGTATTTAACGCCGTGCATCTCTCTGCTACGTTTGAAACCTTCAAGTATGATATCACTTAGGGTCGATGGTGTAGCGGTCTAACGCGCTTATATTCATTTATAGGCAAGTTTATGAGTCCGAGACTGCTGGGCTTCGAATCCCAGACCAGACCATGTGGATTTTTAATTAAATTGCATGGTTCGGTTTAGGATTTGATGTGTGCCGTATTAATAGAAATTCAATTTCTATTGATATGACATGCAGATTATAAAATGGCCATACATTATCGTCTCGATGATGGTGGGTGAGGTTTTCCGGGTTTTCCTCACCTGTAAGTCAAATGGCACCATCAATCATCCTTAAGTCGCCTCGGAGCGCCACGGCAAATAATAATAATAGCCGTCCCTTCCCCTACACAAGTCGTTCAGTCGACTTCAGGGGTTGAAATTCACTCGTAAGGGGGTGAATTAGGGAGAGTATTATTATTATTACTACTTTCCATAGATGTTGACATACCAGACCAATTCTAGATGGATTTGCTTGGCATATCACACATAATTTGTTTGTTATGCCCAGATATATCATCTTCCCTGTTTTTTGACCAACGATGCATGCCGCTCCAGAGTGGGCAATTATAGGCTCAGCGATATTTTCTTTTGCAGCATGCTCCATCGGCCATGGCTGTTATTTGTGGAATTCCATTTTCGTTAACCTCGCCAATTTCTCTAGTGATCTTGGCTTCTTCTGCATCAGCTTGTCTGTTCTTTAACTTGCTGTAGATTTTTTCTTCTACTTTGTACAGTTTATAGCCTATTGGTGGGATATCAAGAGTGCTAATAAATATGCGGATTCTTAAATTAAAAAATACCGTTCTTAAATAAAAAATTAAACTTCTGGATTTAAATTATCTACAACTCTATTTTTCTTAAGAACTTTGTTAGAACGCTAATGCTAAAAATTTGATATCATTAATTATGATATAAAATTCTGAGTTATTAACCACAGCGGCAAACGGTTGTGCCGTTAAACTGTATGTTTGCAGCTTTCTAGTTCTGGTAGCTATCCTTTCAGTTAACTCGTCAAAGCCCTGAAATATATAAAATTAAAAGTTGCATAATGTATGTAAAACATGTAATTGTGTCAAAAGAATTCCATTTGTGTGAAACAATTTTTCAATATAAAAATGAGAATAACAAAATTTATAGGTACGTTTGTTACCTGTACAAAAATAAAAAAACTTTATTGGATCTCTGTTCGAGTTGGCCTCCAATTGATACCTTTCCTTGATTTTTTTAACGTAACTGGTGGAAATAAGTAAGGCTGCATTGCTACTACACACTTATCTAAAACAACATTAATATTAAGAATTTTAAATCTAATGAAACCTCACAAGAACTTGGGGTGGAGAAAATACCTTACTGGGAACTGCATTAAATATAATTTCAAAACAATTACCTTCATTAAAATTTGTTTCAATTTTTCTAATAATATTACACTTTCGGCCATTCGAAATAAGTAATATTAATTTTTTCTGGAAATTTCTTGTTAAAATCCATCTCGATCTAAAATATAAATTTATCAATGGTACTTTTGAAAATAGTATCTAATAAAGTGGAAACGTCCCACTGGGTGACGTAACGCAGGACTTTCAAACAATTAATGGCTGGCTGCTTGTAAAGAGAAAGGCCACTGATGAAAATAGAAGAGTTTGTGTCTGACGCATTTCATTTTCCTTGACACTTGTATTTTCATTTTTGCTCTAAGAAATTTTCATTTTTGCTATAAGAAATTTTCAGTATTTGCCAAATATATCGTTTTATTATTAAAAATGGACTGTAGCATTTGGAAATAGGGAATGCCTAACAAAAGTAAAAGTATTTTGTAAGTAGTTTATGAAAATGATATATACAGGGTGTTGAAATAACCGAGAAAATCATGGCCGTGAGTTTTGGGTCATCCTGTGTGCAAAATGAAAGATATCAAATACATGTTGAGTTGCAACAAAACTAGACTACCTACTACGAAATTATTCTGGCATTGAGATTGTAACCCTTAGTTGTTGATTCTAAATAATACAGGGTGACGATTTCATTAAGATCTTCACATAAAAGTGGCCATATCTTTAAAAGTACCCTGTAGAACTTGATAAAACCCTATTATGCCGGAATAGGGAAAATTATCAAAATTCAAATTCGAGATAACATACATGGTTTTCCAATAAAAAAACATAATTTTGGTATGCTATGACTTTATAAAACACCCTGTATATTACAAAATAATTTTAAAATGTGGAGCTAAACTCTATTTATAATTTGTATTTAAAACTTTTTTTTTCAAGATATTAAACTCCGGAGTATATATTTTTATTACGAGAGGAGCGTCCTGGGATCAAGCTGAGGCCGAATCCGTTGTCCGTTTATTAATAGCTCTTGCCGTTTGGCCGCTGAAACATAGGTACAGACAGACAGATTGAAAAGCCAGAACATAAGCCTTTGTTTAGAAGTCCAAAATTTAAAGGCAAACATGTACAATTCATACCCTAAATTAAACATATTTCATAGTGTACTTACTAATTCAATTCCATAATTCAGACGTAGGAAAGGGAATATTTCAAAAATAGAAAATAAGTCCATATTAGGGCAGTTACAATATTTGCATGTGGTTTAGTTGCAATCTGCAGATATTGGATTAACTCTGTGTTTCTTAAAGGACTCTCTTCCTTTGACTCTTCTTTTTTCTGAGAGGAAGACGCAAGTCTTAATGCTGCTCTAACATTAACAAATCGAGACCATAATTTTCGTCTGGGCCCTACACCTTTATTGAGTGAACTTTTAGGGAGGTAGGGAATGTAATATGTCTCCTTTTGTTCCCTTTCAAATAATTCTAAAATTTCCTCAGTGACATTTTCAAACTGATTACTTTTTATCCTATAATAATAAAAAAAATATTTCAACAAATAAATATTTTAATTATTGTTTTGTCAAGATGAGAACACAAAAATACTGAAAAATTTATACGACAATTGTAATGAGTGTTCGAGCTCATATGATCCATATAACTAATAGTATATTTTATGGAAAAATTGTAAGAATATAGTTCTTTATTGAGCTATACCTGGAGGCAATTCATCCAGTATATTCCAAGAATATAATTTCAATTATGATTTTTTTTAGTAAGAGTTCTAACCTATAAAATGGGTAATTAAAGTATACAAATCAAATAAGTATATTACTAATTGACAAAAAACTACCTACTTTTTATATAATATGTACTTCTATTATAGCTACTTCTATACTAAATTCATGTTAATTTCCGTGTAACTTTTCAAATAAAAATAAATAATATCGCATGCTGAGAACGAAAGTGACCTAACTCGAATTTCACGATTTTTGGGAAATTAAAGAAATGTATTTGCTTTTCAGGTACTGTTATGTTGTTTCTCCTATAACTTTTTTAAATTAAATATTACTTTCCAAATTTAAGTAATAAGTTATTCTATACACTCTCTACTTTTGATAGCCTTATTATAATATTTTTTTAAAACAATATTTATTATAATAAATATTTATCTGAAAAACAATTCCAAAAATGTGTCACTTCAGTACTAAAAAGTTTAAGACAATAGGTACTTTTTTTGATATAGGTCTGTTATATACTGTAAGTGAACAACATTTTTTGACACAACTCAAAAAAGTGCACTTTTGTTCTTAGCTATTACTAATATTATAATGTAACAGGTCAGTAAAAATATTATTTTTACAGTAAACATCTTTATTAAATGAGAATTTACGACACATTAAACAGAATAACTAGTGTGTATTATTTAGTTCACTACAAAACAAACAAAAAACCGTCTCGGGTAACAAAAATAAATAGTAATCTCTACTTAAATAATGTATCCTTAAAAAAACTTAATTAATGATTACTTCCTATTAAATTATAAAGAATTATAAAAACTTGCGTAGTAACTAGGTATTTGATTTTTCTTACTAGATCTTTAAGATCTTTTTTCTTCTTCTCGTTTAAATTAAGCGCTTGCGTATACAATTTTTCTATTGTTATTTCATTAACATTTACCATTTTTTTCTTTTATTACGAATGTTAACTGCAGTAAATTTGGCTTGCTTGTAAGAAGTTTTGTAATAAAATATAAATGTTTCTTCCTTTATAAATTTCAAATTTTTGATGTCGTTCCATCTTATAATCTTTTTTTCGCAGTCTTCGTTAAAATTGTAGCCCCAGAGTTCTTGGAGCTTTTTAAGATTAAAAAAAAAAATCGTAATTGAGTTCCTTGACAATGAAGGGTTTACCGGATTTCCGAGCATTTTTAATTAGAGTCACGTACTGATAGGGTATGTATATAGGTCCAGCTTTTTCATTTTTCTTAATTTCTTTCTCAATCAAACTATGGACATTGTCTGCCTCATTTTGAGTATGCCCCTTAATTAAATATTTATGCGTAATGGTTTGAATGTTTTCAAAGTGGGCAACTGCATATGAGTATAGAGCAGCTATTGTTTTGTTTTTGTTCTGCCCGGTGCAATTGTCGGAGTAAAATGTAATGTTTAACTCTTCATTCGGGTGGTTCAGGCTTAAATTATTCAAGTAATCCAAAATGCAGGAACCTATCTCATTGGCCCCTCTTTGTCCCTGCGTCTCATCCCAAAAATAGCAGAAAACATCGCCATAAGCTCTATTTACTTCACTTTGTGTTTTATTTAATTCTGTTATGGTAAAGTCGAGGCAGTTAATTTTAGATGAGTAGTAAAAGTATGAAGGGCTAGGACATAACATTACAGATTGTAAATCAAACACAGCACAAATATGAGTTTTGTCAATATTCTCTCGATCTGTCCGTTTTTCTTGACGACATAATTCTTTCTCCACTAGATGATTATCATAACTTGTTTTAAGTTCCATCTTACTATTCACAGGAGCAAGTTCATAGGCCAGGCAAGTTTCGCATCTGTCTTTTTTTGGTTGAAAAAAACTAATATTAAAATCCTTGTTAAAAGTATTAATAAACAACCAATAATCACATTCAGGTCTACTTTTTTCTTTTTGTTGCTGGTTAAAATCTTTCCATAGATCTGTAATAGTCTTACTTTCAGATATATATTCCTTACTTGTAGTGGCTCTTAAATAGTGAGATTCAATTCTTGGTATGGAATTGATGTAATCTTTTATATCCTGTAATAATTCTGGTTTCACTTTTTTCCTATTATCGTGTTTACCTCGCCTGTCTTGCTCTACAAAGCCTTGACTATTTGTTTTCTTCTTGACTGTTCTTAATTGTCTATCCGATATATCCAAAGTATTTATAAAATATTTTTTGCATACACGAATATGGTTTCCATTTACTGTAAAATAAAAGGCATTATTAGGCAGCCTAGGTTTTTCTGCATTGGTGTATTTATATTTCGGTTTAACTTCTCTCATACTACATCGGATATAGGCACGCTGCATTTCTAAATCAGTTAGATTCCAAAAATAATTGAACAAAGTAATCCTTTCAGTGTCCATTATTTTATCGAAGCATTTCAATCTGCAATTACACACCTCCTTCATACTACGTGCTGGAACCTGTTTTTTTGATTTAGAAAGGGATACATAGGCTTGTCCACTATTTCTTAGACGTCTCATCTTATTTTGTTTCCACTGAGATGGGTTTCTTTTACGTTTTCTAGATTTTTTGGTATTATCAATAGCATCTTCATTATTAGGATTACGATTGTTGAACATAGCATCATTAGTAGCGCGTGACTGAGAACCGGAAGAAGACAAAGAACTGCTTGATAAAGAGTTATGCGTCCCCTTAATTTTATTAATTTGAAAGGTTGGATCAGAGTCACTTATATCTACATCACTTTCATCTGTATTAACTGGCGATATATTATAATTTGGATTAACTGTAGTTCGTGGATTACTGCTACTCGGGCCAACAAATTTAGAAGAATCAGAGAAAGAAGATCTTGACGAAGTGCTTGACGAAGAACTTGACGAGGAACTAGATGTAGAAGAACTACTTGAATTAGATCTGACACCTTTTATCTTTTGGGCTGATTGGATTGGATCATCCTTAGTTAATTCAACTTCAGCATTTGTGATGTTTTGTGGATTAAACTCTTTTGATATCTAAAAATAAATAGTTGTTACTATCTAATACTTAAATGTTTCTTAAAGTTGAAGCTACTTTAATAGTATTAATAATTATATTAAAGTTTCATTTTTCGGCCATATGTGTTTAAAGTTTAAACGTTTTAAGGTACAGTTATTGGGTGTATACATTCAGTCAAAAAGACATTGGCTTATATTGCGGACGTAAAATTAAATAATATTTAAAAATTCCTACAACTGGACGAATAGAAATTAAAAGCTAAAATTCAGCAAACTTTTCACCCTTTTTATTAGTGAGGTGTGGGTGCATAAGTTTTAAAAACACTTTTTTTTATACAATTTCCATGGTAATATTTTACTATAATTGAATCGTTCATTTCAAAAACCACATAAGTCAAAATAGTTAATTTTTCAGTAGAGCGAAAAAACTGTTTTGCACAAAAAGTATCTTTATAAAGTGAAAAAACGTATTTTTTTTTTAATATAAACTACATGACTATAACTAATGTTGATGAAATTACTATAAACATATGAATGGTTTTTTCATAAAAAAAAAAAAATTATAAAATGACTTGTGTGGTTTTTACACGGAATTCTATTTTGAGGAATTAAATTTTAATTTTAAAAATAAATAAACAGAAAAATATTAAGATAAATGGTTTATTTGAGTTTTTTTTTAAATATAATACGTCAGTTAAATAATTAAAAATAAAAAGATTATGGAACATAATCAAATTCTTCGTCGTTTTCGACATCTGGACCGTCATTTTCCTCTCCAGTTGGCCAGTTGAAAATTCCTTCATAAAATGGAATATGTTCTTGGATGACACTATTTTTCACTCGTTTGATATTTTCTATCTTTTTGGGATTTATGGGAACACTGCCGGCTGGATATGCATTTTCTGTGGGTAGTAAGATGGCACTTGCTTTGTTTCTGGTCAAGTCAAATGTATGTCTACGTAAACCATCTATAAACTCATGAACAACCACTACTCCTTTTCTATTTTTATCATACTGGAATGCCATGTAACAAGATAGTGAGAATGACTGTTTCAGTTCTTTTGGAATGTGCTTACCAAAGCTCTCATCTGACAAACATACTTTTTTATAAAATTTTGGCCACCATTTAGCAAAATCTAAAATTTGTTCTGTTGACAACATAAAGACTTTAAAATTGGGGCTTGCTTCTGACATAATCTTATAGTACTCATTAGGAACATATATACGGTCACACTTTTTAATCTTTTTTTTCACAACTTCGAAGTCTCGATCGTTGGGAAGAAAAGAATGTCCTCTTATAGGGAAATAATGCGTTACTTTCGAAAATCGGCCTGTGTCTGTCAATGATAGTAAAAATCGTATGACTGTATGATTTTTATTTTGGCCTGGACAGTTATCTGAGAAGAGTATTACTTCATTAATATTTTCTCCTAAAAAGTTGTCCATGTAATGTAGAAGCATTGAACAAACTTCGTTTGCTCCTTTGTTTGCTATGCCTTCATGATATACATAAAACACAGTCTCATTAGTCTTCAAATTTTTTATCCCAAAACAATTAACCCATAGCTGTCTCAGATAAAATATTTCTTGTATGGGTAGATGCGGCAAAGGTAAATTTTGCATGAAGTCAAAGGTCAAGCATGCAACGTCATCCTGACTAGTGCAAATTTGTTTTACTGCGGCGATTTTGTTATGAAATTTTTTTGCCCGCCTATTGTGAACTGCCTTTTCGGCTTCAAATGCTTTCTTTGCGTTAAAGCCTAACGTAGGGCTTTTTATTTTTACCTCTAATTCTTCACATTCAATACATGTATCTATCTGGGGTCGTCCAAAACGTAGAGAAAATGTTGTTTTAAAATAGTTTGCATAAAAAGCATAGGTAACTTTCAATTCTGGAAATTTTTTTCTGATCATAGCATGCATTGTTTTGACATCTAGGCGGGCATCTAAATATTCAATTTCTTTGCCTGAATAGTGCGTTCGTTTTCGAGGAAAATCAAGAATGTGGTCATGAATAGCTTTTAAAACAGTAGGAGGTGTGGTGTTGACCTTTTGATGTTGGCCTCGTTTGTCGTGCGGTGTAATGGATTGTTGCAGTAAGGTACTAAGACGTCTAACTCGGTTTTCGGTGATGCCGTATATAGAAGTAAATGCTTTCTTACAGACAGTTTCCATTTTGTTTTGAGTATGTACACAATATTTAAAATGATAAACCCTTGGTATTGCACCTTCTTTGCGAAATCGATGACATTTTACAGGATCTTTTTCAATCAGCTGTTGTAGATAGATGTCTTGTTCATTTTTATTTAAAAATCCATTTATTTTGTCAATACAAAAGTCTAGGTCTTCTCGAGTTAGTCGTTCAAAGCATGACATCTTACACCTAAAACAATGCAACATACGTACTATCAATAAGATGGACGGTTTATACCTCTGATAAATGAATAAAGGAAAATGATACATCTAAAACATTTTCCTTTATAATGATCGATATTAGTTGCAGAGAAAAACTTACATGCAGTCCGGTCCAGTAACACGAGCTGGTATAATATTTCCAGACCAGTTTATATGTTGGAGTCCTTTAACTTTTGACATTTTAATAACGTTCCTCTTATAAGTTTTAGAACGTCTTTGCCTTTTTTTTAAAGGTTCAGGTTCGCTACGTTCACTTGATGCTTCAGAATCAGACATATTTTCTACTGAAAACTACGCTTTATACGTCTAGAACAGTACAATGCACATACTAGAATGCCGGCGACTAGCAAATAATAATATGTAAACAAATGATCGCCATATTTGGTCCCCCACCACACCGCCCTAATAGTCCGCGTAAGAACAACGCTAGTCACAGACTTATGTGGTTTTTGCAGCGAATACTGAAATTGAGAGCGAAGTAGGCAATTAACGGGCTATGGGACTTGTGTGGTTTTTACACTGAAGATGTATTTACCCCCGTAGATGCGGTTCGTAGTAAAAACTCAAATTGGCAAAAAAATGACTTATGTGGTTTTTGAAATGAACGATTCAATTAAAACACAGATAAGCAATAAAAGGGTGAAAAGCTCTATTTTATTTTCATGAAGGTATATTAAAATTTTTCATTTTTTTTTTCAGCATAATTTCTCATCTAGGTCATTTATCTAATTAACTTCTGCTGAATTTGAGCTCTTAATTTCTATTCGTTTAGTTGTAGGAATTTTTTAAATGCCCAATCACTCTAAAAATAAACTGTTCAATTTATCCTATTTATGCTTTTCTGTTTTGTTCGAGAATAAGGTACTATGTTCCTCTTAATGAACACACACGCACGCACTCGCGCACACACACGCACTCGCCCACACACACGCACCCACACACACAATTTATTAATTTTACCTGGAATTCACTGTCATCAGACCTAGTTTGAATTGTTGATTGTGTCTTGTACACATCTATAACTCTTTCTGAGGTATTTTCGATTTTAGAGAGACTAGGCGGAACTATGTTTTCTTTATCATGTTCATAATTCTGCTGAAAAATAAAACAACTATTTTAAAGCTAGAAACTATAATTAAAAACAACTAGTTAAAAAAATAATATTATCATTTTACCTCTGTTTGTTGATTAATTTCCAACATATGTAATATTAAATCAGCTCTTCTTTTCATTTTTTCTTAAATTAAAGAGACTTTAAATAGTTGTTCCAACACTAAAAAAATAATAAAATGACGTATTAAAAATTGTGTCCTTTACTTATTAGATAGTTTCGATTGTAAATAGACACATTCACAAAGAGAACAAATAATTTTTCTAAAATTTAATAAAGTAAAAACTTATTTCTAAATGATCCACAGATTAAACGCTATTCATTAATAAATTAATGACTGAATTAGTTTTAAGTCGTATTGAATAGCCGTGTTTTAAATCGTAAAATGACTCAACAGTAAAATCGGTCACTACAAGATTAAAAGTTACTGTTAAACTTACCTTAGTTTTTTGTCATGCAAGGACTCTATTGAGATTAGGTCACTACTAGAATAACTGCTAGACGTCCTCTAGCGAACACTCCCGGCTTATAACTAAACTCGCCACTGTTTCGTTGAATGATGTGCGGGGAGAGTGTGACAAGTCTCCTGATTCACCTACCGTGATTCAGCGAGTCTGTGGCGCTATGAATGTAATTCCCGAATAGGGGTTGCTCAGGCGCCAGTTTTGATATCGCAGTTTGCTCTGCGGCCCTGGGGTGCACGTAGAGTACACCCTCAGTAGACTCAGTGGAGTCCAGGTACAAACAAAAAAAAATAAAACGGATAGACCTTCTCTGTTAAGTTGACCTACGCTGGGGTAGTAAAGTAAATAAAGTTTTTCACTGCACTTTTACCTATTAATCACTACGCCCTGAAAACGGAAAAAGCAAAGGCGTAATTCAAAATTAAACTCAGGAATTTCAATCAAAAATATATTTACAAAATAAATGAAATAAATAATAATTAAAAATAAAATAAACGGGGTGAAATCGGTATATATATATATATATATATATATATATATATATATATATATATATATATATATATATCTGTTTAATAACGGTAATAAAATAAATGCAGAATTATGTATGTTGATAAAATAAAAGGTCTCGGTATTTACAGAAAATGATATAACGGTAAAATTAACTATGACCTATACTATACCCATAAGAAAATAAAAATAACAATTTTCCCTTTAACAAAATTAAAACGGTGGGCACTAACACCCTTAGCACAAATTCCTTGCTATTAATGAAAACGGCCCGGTTTTAGCCATAAGAAAAAAATCTACAATAGTAAAACTAAATATGATTCAAACTATACGTTTTAAAAATAAAAAAAAATTAATAAGCTACTCTCAGTAATAAAAATATCGGTAATCTGCCAACGGTGGTGAACAGTATCACCCTCCATTCATGAGAGGGAAAAAAATGACGGATGCCTTTGTAAGAACGACGCCTAATATCCTCCCCGCAATATTATTTTACTAGGCACAATAGACCAAATAACGGGTGTCTTAAAGCGGTATTATTCGACCAATACTTTGAGAATTTTTATTTTATTTATTCGGTTTCAAATTTCTCTTATGTAGACATCTGGCAATCCATAGCTTCTACAAAACAGAAACAGCTGCGACTCTCGACAGGGATAGCAAGCGAATACCACTATCATCCCTTGGTTAACACGAAAATGGTTGAAGGGCACTAACGCCCCGGACTTAAATACAATTCGTTACCCTGACAGGTACTAAGAAATCAAAAATATCGGTCGAATAGCTCAGGTAATTAATAGTACGGAAGTGAATGTTACAGGGAGAATTATTAGACGGAATTTTAAATAAAAAGGCCTACCTTAATTAACTTCTTCACAAAAATCGCTTTACGGTAAAAACGGCACTTCAGCAAAACAACTTTTACTAGCGAACTGACGGTAGCAGCAGGAAAAGAGCTCCTTCATCGCAAACATTTAGTTTTATCAGAATTCGTACTTTTGCCGGAGTGGGGCGGTAGCCCCACCTAGAGGAAATAAATTGTTATTGCAAAAAAAACGTTAATTGATCAGCTTACTGATAAAATCTACTAGAATTGCAATTTTACAAGACGATTTACATTATTGTGATATCGAAAAGTTTTAAACTACGAGGGCTCTGGCAAATGTTTAAAAACGGTAATTCTACGGAAATATTAGTTAGTCTTGCAAATGTTCATAGATGGAAATTAATTTTAGAAATTAATTTATGGAATAAATTAATGGGAATTTTAGTGACTTCGTCACAAGAGTATGAAATGAAAGGGACGGCGATATTGTATTCACCCTTTTTTAACCAAAAAGCGTCAGTTTATTATTTTCTGGGGAATAGAATATGCTTTTTTAAGTCGTTTTATGTATTTAACTCGATTTGCCAAAATGTTGGATTGAGTCACTTTCGTTCTCAGCATGCGATATATTTAAATGAATAAATTATTTCAAAATAACTACAACATTTTATTTTTCACTTTATTTTAGAACTATTTTACATAGCTGAGATAGCTAGCGAATTATGTCAAGTTATGTTTTATGTAAGCCCATTGTGGATAAGCCTTTAGGGATACGTTTATGTATTTCAAATTAGATGCAAAACAAACGAATTATTGCCAAGTGTAAATTAATTTAATAACCTGTAACTTTTATTTCCCCAAAAAGAATTTACCGTATTGTTATAACCTACTTTTTGAAATGAAAATAAATACAAAGAATGAGTCTTATAAAAAAAAATATATTAAAAGATTTGTAATTCATCCAATTAAAGGTTGGTTCATATAGGGGGCGAGTAATTTATTAGGGGCCTATACCTTTACTCAGAAACTGTATACTGACTTTAGAAAAAAAAGTGTTAACACAAAATTTTCTTGGTTTTAGACAATTTTTTTAAATTATTTGAATTTTATTAATACATGGTGTCCGAAAAATGCTGCACCAACTTTAACATCAAACACCCTGTATATTTTTACATTTTTAGAATCTTCTCAATAAGCAGATTTCAATGATATATCATACTATCTAATGTGATCAGTAATGGATCTACAGCTACTAGAAAATCACATTTTTTCAAATTTAGGTGTCGGTAGATAGTCAAACAGTTTAAATTCAAGAAAAACAGTTTACATGTCCCTATCGTAACTTTTCAAGTTCTATTCATGAAAAATTATTTGATGCAGGGTGATCTTATCAGCTGGTTTTCGATAGGATAGGGACATGTAGCCATTTTTCTCGATATTCAACTGTTTAGCTAATTAGATGTGTGACATACCTATCGTTAAAATCTGCTCACTGAGAAGAATCTAAGAATTAATATTCAGGATGTCCCACTTAAAATTTTGGTGTTGAAGTCAATGGAGCACTTTTCAGATTAAATAAATTCAAATTTTAAAAAATTGTTTAAAACCAAGAGACTTTTGTATCAACTTTTATTTTTCTAAAGTTAGTTTCTGAGAAAAGTTATGGGCACCTAATAATTCAACTTTGTTGTATATAGATTTAACTATCTTATAAGGTTGATTCATGTACCATATTTTAAATACCGTAAATTTGGGTTACCTACCTAAAATGCAAAATTATCCATATTTTATTTAAACCCTAAAATTCCAGAATTTACAGTTGTCAAACCATTATTCAACTAAAAGAATTTTCATAAATAAGTAGGTAGGATAGCTGGCCAACTATAATAATTATTTCTAGAATTATAAGGTTTAAATAAATTTAAAAAATGGCACATGAGTCAACCTTTATTTTTAATCTGAACATCTTTGCCTATATGTTGGAAAGTAACAAAGACGTTTTATTATTATTAAAAATTTGTATCAAGTAAAACAAAATATAGCTGTTATTGTAAATCACGAACTACTAATGAAAAATTAAAGTTCTTGTGCATTTAAGCCGCTCTTAACAAATACAGAAAATTTTCCCAAATTTTTTCATATAAAATGGAATTCGGTTTAATAACTACTAATTTTTCTTACCTTCAAAAGCCTTCAAATATTCACCAAATCCCCATTTCCCCAGGATAGAGTTAATATCCATATCCAGTTTTTTTCACTTTTTCACTCTTTAAAAGACAAAAGCATTAAGAAATAAATCAAAATCAAAAAGCTTCTGAAACTGAAACAAACAACCATGACCATGAACCATGCCATGGAGGAATAT